ATCGACTTCGTCAACCAAACTCTCTTCTGTGGCCGAAACGGTTAAACGCACGTCAGGCTATATGACGGTTCCGTATAGGATACAGGTTTGGTTTCTGTCGGAGGACGAATATTATTTTCTATGAAAATTTCTTGGACATTCAGGCCGGTAAATGTTGTTTAATACTGTTTATTATAAACAGAGCATTTACTTAAATAATGTATTATAAATATGTTAAATAATATAAATATAATATATATATATATATATATATATATATATATTCCATTTGTGTGTGTGTGTAAATATAATTATTTGAGTAATCACAAATTTCATTTGCCAAAAAAAATCTACACTTGAAAGTTTTCCCAAAATCTGTTTTAATCAAAAAAGTAGATTATTCACCAATTATTTCATTTTTCGATAAATGTTTCCTCTAGAATTCTTCAACTTATATTCTCTTGTAAAAGTTTCCATCGTATATTAGAGGCAGATTTTAAGTCATTTTTTATTAACAAATGGAAGTAGAGAATAACATTTCTTTTCCAAGACTTTTTCAGATAATGTCTTTTCACAAGAATATTTCAACATCTTTACTTCATCAATAATTAATTAATTTATTAGGGACACAGTTTGAGTTATGGTTTCATTTCATAGACAACGACAACTCCAAAGAAGAAGGAGGAGAAGGAAAATAGAAATTGGTCGACTGTCACATTCGATTAGATTTCGTGCTTAGCAAAAACCTAAAAGAGAACAAAATTATTTAAATTCAAGTATAACACATTTCCAAAGGGAATATAAAATGCCTGATCGATTGATGGTGAATTAGTTTTTCTGTTTTTTGTCTCTGCGACTGAAAATGAGGATGAAAAATAGAAATAAAAGAACGCTGGGAAGACAAACATTAATGGTTTCCATTTGCGAACAAAAATTTTATGGTGCAATGACGTTTATATATCGGTCATGTAATGGAACTTAAAATGATTCATATAATTATGCACGTAACTATTCCGACCAGAACGTTCATCTTAGTTGTTATACAAATAGCGTTTCAACCGTTCTACCATTTGATCTTCTTCAGGTGTTTGTCTTATTCTGTTATTCGAACTAGCACGATCGTTTTGGCTATTATACGCACAACATTTTGGCCGTTGTACTCTCCGGTCTTCTTCAGGTGTCTGTCATATTAGTGTCCATTTTTATTATTCAATTTTTTGAAAAAGCTTATTTGAATCGTATTAAATAATGTTTCAGCCTTTATATTATCAGGTCTTTTTCAGGTGTCTGCCATATGATATGCGTTGCTATTTGGGCCAACACACTCATCTTGACTGATGTATTCACGACGCTTTAGTCGTCGTACCGTCCGACATTTTTGTACGTGTATGTATAACCATCCACAAATTGGTAAGTTATATTTACAGAGAAATCTGTTCATTTTATACATAACATCAGCTATGTTCTATTCCCACCAACGTGATGGTTTGATTAGATGTTGTGAACTTATTCACCAAGTTTCCCACAGATAAAGCACTATCGGCGGTTCTAGGCAAGTTAGAATTTTGCTCTGTCTAAGAGGGTGCAGAAGGGTGCAAAGAGATAACCTGATGGATATGTTGATATTCTGTGTGCAAACAAGAAACTTCTAACTGGGTCCTGACATATACCATCAGGAAGAAGGCTTAACTCTAGAAGTGTCAGACACACACTTGAAATACGTTCAGGAATATAGAAATATCACTGTATATCTAAGCAACATGATTGGCTTTAGGCAACCCCACCTGATTTAGATACATAGACAACAACTTCATTATCTGGCCCAACAAGGATCACGTGAAAGCAATGCTGGACCAGATAAACTCAATAAAACCTTCCGTTCTGTTGAGAATGGAAAAAGAAGCAGATCAACTGGCTTTGCTAGATGTACTAATAAACTTCACAGATTGTCAGTATATCATAAGCGAATATTCACTGGACAATATTCAGTTTCAATCTCCACCATCGATACAATGTCAAGAAATTAATCATTCCCGCCTCTACAACATCGGGGTCCAAGTTAATAAATGGCGAACGTGACACATACAAATAGGAAGTGATCAACATTAGATTGGTTTGGTTTAGTTGATTTTGTTTAGTGACATATCAACACCTCTATGGGTCATTTAATGCCGAGATGTAAATATTTTGAAACTAAATATATTTTGAGCACAATTGCATGCCTTCAACTATAGAGAAAATGTATTGTTGATAATTTTACTATAAAAATGTATTTTTATACTTTCATAGTGTATTTTTTGGTGGAGGTTCATTATTTGCACATAGTTGGGACACTTACAGGTGTCACCATTCCATCAGCGTTACAAAAAAACAAAACAAAAAAAAACATTCAGGGTAACACCTACTACCCTACAAATACCAATCATCTTTTACTAGCAGGGTCAAGAGATTCAAGGACAAGAATAAAATACCTAGGATCCATTTAAAAAAAATTGAAAGGGTCTGCGATGCCTGCAACATGCAGATGGCATTCAAAAGAGATTGAGCCTTTCGAAGATATTTCTCCAGAATGAAATCTTCTACCGGAAGCAGACAATGCTAATAACTGCATTTATTACATCTCATGCAGTTGTGACAAAGTATACAAAGCAGAAAGTATCCGCTCACTAGTAATAAAGTAAAGTTGGAGGAACATCGAAAACACTTATAGATATTGAAATAAGGCATGACTGATGTTATTTAGTGGAAAAGGTGGAATGAAAGCAAGATAACAATACTAGAGGATAAAACAACTGAAAGTATCAGCGCACATGTTATGCTTTGACAATTTACTTATAGAGCTAAATATCATCCTGGAGCTACTGATTAAAAAGAAATAAAAGGACTCCATTACAGTTTCATCACCTGAATCACGACACTTGTAAAGTTTTGCCACTTGAGTACTGTCATTAGGTTTAAGACTCTAGAATTTCAACAATAGATTATCCAAGAGAGACATGGTCTGTATGGATAAACATCGTATTCAATTTCAGAAGTGAGTTCAATCCCTGTGTCTGGCAGTGCTGAATAGTCTTATACGCTGATTTATTGGAAGAAACGGACTTGCGACACAAAAGTGAATAAAACGTGAGTATTAACTGATAAGAAATATCGCCTAAGCATGTAATATATAACACTGTGGATTGCATAAAGCGTTCAATTCGAAATGCTTGGTGCTAGTGAAGGGACATGGAAACAAAGATATTATAACCACAAACCTATTTTATGTAAAGCTAAAACATCAGCATCGGAAATCTTTCTATGTATTTTCAAGATGAAAGCAGAGAAACTCCGGAAGTTAAATGGAGAATTTTATGGAAAGAATTTACCTTTAAGACATCTTTTAAAAATTGTGAAATAAAACCGAAAGAAAATTGAGGCTTTTAGAATTCCCGCAGCCAAGCAGAATATTGAACAAAAAAGGTGAATTGCTTTCTAACTCGAGGCATGAGAATAAGAAACTGTTATGCTACCTTTTCAACTTGATTAACCGTTTATGTATTCCTCCATCATTCTATGTTAGAACGAAACCAACCTGGGAGGAATACAACGCACCAAAAATCTCTCGCCAAAGATGAACCTGACAATTGCGCTTTTATTCTTTTGTGAAATAATATATATATATATATATATATATATATATATATCAGAGAGCGAATTTTTTTTTCTTTAATGAGATTTCTCGAATATTCAGGCCAGTAGACGAAAATAATAAATTTACTATTTAAATAAATAAACGGAGCGTCTACTTAAATATGAGTATCCACTAAGTCTAACGTTTAAAGTGATAAAAATCTATCGGATTAGTAAATAAATAAAGTATTACTTCTTTAGAAAATTGATATGTGTGTGTATGTGTGTGTGTGTTTATTGCCACTGTCTGGCATGTTTGTTTTTATTTGAACTTGTGTTGTAAAAGGAGTTGATAATATCAAATATCTTTTCGTATAATTTTAAGAAAAATCTACAATTGCATAAAAAAGCAATAAATGATTTGTTGAAAAATGCAGAAAATTGTATAAAGCCATATCAGGTGTTAACAGTGAAACAGAGTGGCGGAAAAATAAACATCAATTTATCGAGTGTATGTTACGTTATAGACAAAAATGCACAACAGAATGGAAGTTCTCTTGAAAACAATCACCTGGAAAAGGAGATAAATAAAGATAAGTAAACGAAACAAAGCCCCGAATATTGAAACAAGCATTACGCCCCAAGCAAGGCGTGAAGCCACTAGGATGCAAGGGGTTGCAGAAGATTTGTAGCGAGAGCAGATAGGAGTGATAGAAGAAAGGATGAGCAGAGGGATAGTGGATAGATCAAGGTAACTGGAGATGTCGATTGACATTACATTTGAATAGTTGGAGATTATAGCTCTCAGGGAAACAGTAATTGGGAAGGGTGTTCCACAGGCGAGAGGTGCGAGGTATGAAGCTATTGGAGTAGAAGAGACGGCTACATTTAAAATGTTCTACAGTGTAAGGGTGGGAGCGGGATGCCAGCCTCGTAGGGCGCTTGAATTCATGGAGTCTGGGAACCAGTGAAAGCAGCTCATCGGAGCAATTACCATGAAAGTATTTGTAGAAAAGACAGAGAGAGGCGTCGGCGCGTCTGTGAGAAAGTGACTGTAGACGAGACGCCAGATCAGGGCCAATTATATTACATATCCGTCTCTGGATCGTGTCAAGAACTCCGAGGTAAACAGAAGGTGCCCAAGACCATATATGGCAGCAATACTCCATGCAAGGGCGAATGGTTGATTTGTATATTTGAAGTATCGATTCCGGGGAGAAAATTTTCCTGGCGCGGCACAGAGAGCCAACTTTCCTCGCGGTGGACGAAGCAATTGACTCAATGTATTTGTTCCATCTCAGGTCAGCAGTCAACGTGAGACCGAGCAGACGCAGGGAGTTGCTCTCAAGAAGAAACATCGTGAGTAAAAGTGTCTAGGTTAAATTAAAATCTGCAAAAATGATGTTATCATGTTATCAGAATCTATCTATCTATCTATCTATCTATCTATCTATCTATCTATCTATACACACACAGAGAGGGTGCGATGGATTAATTGTCGTCTTAATAATGTAAAAATGAAAATAACACTGACATCTCATTTTAACATAAATATTTACCAAGATTACACAAAAATATCTTGAAATAATAAAGAGTAAAATTATTCATTAAAAATTTTAAAAGTTTTGTTGGTTTGTTGCGCAACTGCAGTCCACACATAATAATTAAGGGGGTTGTAGTGTGGGGAGTTAGGGATCCGGATGTAAGGAGTGATGTAGTCGCAGAAATTGTCAAACAGCCATGACGGGGATCTCCTGCTTGTGTGGCATGGTGCAGAGTCCTGTTGCCAGACATAGGGTCTTCCTACTTCCTAAAGGCACTTGATGTAGGCCTCCGTGTTGAGTCTGTGGCCCTCACCAACAAATTTGACTGTTCTTTTTTTATCAGAACGATCAGAGTAAGTTTTCCGAGCTGCTGTACGTTTTTAATCACCATGTCTGTACTGGACTTTCCAGTACAATATGCAGTTTCCAAATTTCTGGCGGAGTGAATTGCGTCATGGTGCTCTTTTTCTCATAACAATGTCCAACTGATGCTACTATAATGTGCTATTGACAAAATCAAAAAGAAACAACGCGCAAGGCGAAATTAAAAATATTAAAAGGCGGCAATTTACCCAAATACTCTTTATATATATATATATATATATATATATATATATATATATATATATATATATATGGAAAAAACAATAGAAATGTTAATATATCAAGAACAATTTTAAGGAAAACTATGAGTGAACTATAAGTTTTCTTGTGATGCGTTTCGTCCTTTTTACAACTTCACTTTAAAGTGATGTTTACGTTGATGCGATTCTACATGCGCAAGAAGGAGAGGGGACGCAGAAAATTTTTAATATAAATTGAAAAAGTATATTAAAATTTAAATTTACTTTTCAATATTAGAGGGAATTTTCAAGTCCCCATGTTTTTGCTAAAATTAAATTCTTATTTTCTGCGTCTTGTCAATAGTCGATTTGATATAAATTCATAATTCACAGCTTTATTAAAAAATGGTACAGCTTCTTATCAAGCTTCATCTTGATAAAGAAAGAGACATTCTTGACTCAGTAAAAATGCAGACTCTCAAAATGAATCTTATAGTATAACTGATATATTTTCATTTTTAAATATTTCTTCAGAATATATTCAAATATAAAAAAAGAATAAATATTAAAAAAAAAAATAAAATTATCTAAAACATTGGTCCTATTTAATTGAAGAAAATCTGATTTTGTTCTAAGAGAACAAGAATATTTTAGAGTTTATTTGAAGGGTATAAATTTATTATTGGGGATCAAGAACAATTTTTCAAATTTGAGGATTTGTTTTTTTTTATATATATATATATATATATATATATATATATATATATATATTCACACCTTTCCAATATATATATATATATATATATATATATATATATATATATATATATTGGAAAGGTGTGAATCCTCTTCTTCTCCCTCCAGCTACGGGTAAATAGCAGGACAGACTGGGTTCTAAAGCTTTGGATGACAACTAGTCTAGGAGAAGGACAACTCTAAATTCAAAACCTGCGGAGGGTCGTTTGGGGATTTTGTGACACGTAGTGCACCAGGTCTCTGGCTACATGTTCTTGCAGAGAGAATAGAATTGATCCAGTGCAACGTCTTTCTCCACTCCAAAAGTTTCATGCACAGCTATTGCTTGATATCACGTATGACAGTTGAGATTTACAATGGTCATGCTCGACAACGAGGTAGCAGGCATCACACACACATATAATTTATATATATATAAATATGTAACTGTAATAAGCATAAAAACTATATATATATATATATATATATATTGATTGAATATATATATATATTGAATATATAAAAATATATAAATAATATATATAAAAACTATATATATATATATTGAACATTTTGTGTGTGTGTGTGTGTGTATATATATATATATATATATATATATATATATATATGTGTGTGCGTGTGTGTAAGGATACCGAATATATAAGGTATTGTGTGAGTGTTTCTTTCCCTCGATATATAATGTGTGTCTATGTATGTGTAAGTTTATCCTAAGGAAATCTCCTTATGGATTATGAGAAATCAATAAAATAGTGGAACGTTGACTTGTGTCACTGCCGTCGGCGGCCCAAATCAACGCATGGGTTCGTCAGAGTGAATTAAAAAGAAAACTCATCGTCCTATCCTGCGTGGTGAGTAGGATTTCTTCCGGCGAGTCACCAAATTAGCACGTGTGTGCCACGCCTAACCCTGTCAAGTCATTAGGCTAGCAACCTTTGCTGAACAAAATGCACGATAAATAGGGAAACATTTTTTCCCCCTGATTAATCCAAAATATATCGAAATCTAAGTTAACCCAAGATTGCTAGTTTAGACAAAGTGATAAGTAATAAAATGGAAACCTTTTCATATTGAAAATTTTATCGCAACTTTTCATGGATTAAAGCAGAAGTGATAATCCACTCGGATTTGATTATTAAACAAAAGACAGATACAATGTTGAAACATTTTCACCGCTCTTCGTTTTTTTTAATTTTTTCTCTCAACACTTGTCACCTTTTCTCTATCACCTTCTCTCACAGTACCTGACAACTTTTCTCTCAGTACCTGACTCTTCTCTCATTAGATGGCATTTTTACTTACAGTACCTGGCACTTTATATCTCTCTATCACCTTCTCTCTCAGTACCTGACAATCTTTCTCTCAGTACCTGACACTTTATCTCTCTCTATCACCTTCTCTCTCAGTACCTGACACCTTTTCTCTCAGTACCTGACACTTTATCTCTCTCTATCACCTTCTCTCTCAGTACCTGACATTTTTCTCTCAGTACCTGACACTTTATCTCTCTATCACCTTCTCTCTCAGTACCTGACACCTTTTCTCTCAGTACCTGACACTTTATCTCTCTCTATCACCTTCTCTCTCAGTACCTGACAACTTTTCTCTCAGTACCTGACACTTTATCTCTCTCTATCACCTTCTCTCTCAGTACCTGACAACTTTTCTCTCAGTACCTGATATTTTTATCTCTCTCTAAAACCTTCTCTCTCAGTACCTGACAACTTTTTCTCTCAGTACCTGACACTTTATCTCTCTCTATCACCTTCTCTCTTAGTACCTGACAACTTTTCCCTCACTATCTGTCAGCTTCCCTCTCAGGATCTGGCACTTTTTCTCCCACTATCTCTCAACTTTTCTTTCATTACATAACATCATTTCTCTCACTGTCAACATTTCTCACAGTACCTGACACCTTTCCTCTCATTGTCAACTTTTCTGTGAATACCTGACACCTTTTCCCTCAATAGAAGTCGCCTTTTCTCTCACTATCTGTCACCTTTTCCCTCAGTACCTGACACCTTGTTTCACTCTATCACTCCTCTGTCAGTACAGGTTTTCCCTCACTGTTCCTTTTCTCTCAGTACCTGACACCTTTTCTCTCATTATCTGTCACCTTCTCTCTCAGTACCTGATACCTTTTCTCTCATTGTCACAATTTTCTCTCAATTCCTTACACCTTTTCTCACACTATCTGTCAAATTTTTTCTCAGTACCTGACACCTATCCTCTCTATCTATCACATTCTCTCTCAGTACCTGACACCTTTTCTCTCACTATTTATCACCTTCACTCTCAGTACCTGACACCTTTTCTCAAACTATCTGTCACCTTCTCTCTCAGTACCTGACACCTTCTCTGTCTATCTGTCACGTTTTTCTCTCTGTACCTGACACCTTTTCGCTCACTATTTGTCACCTCTCTCAGTACCTGACGCCTTTTCTCTCACTATTTGTCACCTTCTCTCTCAGTACCTGACGCCTTTTCTCTCACTATTTATCACCTTCTCTCTCAGTACCTGACACCTTGTTTCATTATCTATCACCTTCTCTCTCAGTACCTGACACCTTTTCTCTCATTATCTGTCACCTTCTCTCTCAGTGCCTGACACCTTTTCTCTCACTATCTGTCACCTTCTCTCTCAGTACCTGACACCTTTTCTCTCACTATCTGTCACCTTCTCTCTCAGTACCTGACACCTTTTCTCTCACCATTTATCACCTTCTCTCTCAGTACCTGACACCTTTTCTCTCACCATTTATCACCTTCTCTCTCAGTACCTGACACCTTTTCTCTCACCATTTATCACCTTCTCTCTCAGTACCTGACACCTTTTCTCTCACCATCTGTCACCTTCTCTCTCAGTACCTGACACCTTTTCTCTCACTATCTGTCACCTTCTCTCTCAGTACCTGACACCTTTTCTCCCGCTCTTTTCCAGTTTCTTCTTCATTCACTTTTTCTTCACATGTTTTCCTTTCTCTCTGTGCTTTTTCATTCTGTTTTTCTCTTTCACTCTCACTTTATTGCTCTTCTCTCTCTTCCTGTTTCTTCTTCACTCACATTCTCTTCCTGTTTTTCTTTCTACATTTTTCTTTCTTTATCTCCTCTCTTCCTAGCTCTATCCTCGTTTCTTCTCTCTCTCTCTCTCTCTTTTGTTTTCCATTCTCTCTCTTTCTATTTCTTCTTCACTCTCATTCTCTTTCTGCTTTCCCTTTCTCCATTTCTCTTTCCCTCCCTCTTTGTTTCTCGTTTCTTCTTCTTCGTTCTTTCTGTTTCTTCATCACTTGAAATCCAACTTAACAAAATTTCAAAATAGAAAATAATGTACAAATGACAATCAATGCAAGTATTTCTTACATTTCTACAGTTCAAGTTTGGCTCGTCGTTTTTTGACGAATCGATAAAGAATCGTATGTATTCTTTTGAAAACCGACTTTGAATTTTTTTATTCATGTCATTTAACCCTTTTTGGAAATCATTCGATAATTCTGATATTAGTCAAATGTTGACAGCAAATCATTTATGATTCAAATATTCTCGGCTCCTGTTTACTGTGATTCCTTTTCATTCTATTCACCGGAAGATATTTTCAAGACATGCTGTAAATAATTGAGGTGAAACTGTATCCATTCGTCTCACTCCTTTTTCATTCTTTATTTTATGTATCTTTTTGTAGTCGAATCAATTCACTATTAATAATGGCATATATTTTCATTAACGTTTATATAACTTTAGTTAATATCTTGCTTACAGTGTGAATTAGTGTCTGTTGAGTTTTCTACTGATTCAAATGTCTTTTCATAGTCAACAATAGCCTGTAGTTTTTCGAATATATATATATATATATATATGAATAAATATAGTCTTAAGATGTGCTATATTTATGGGATAAAGTGCTCAATATCAGAGATAGAGCGTGTGTAAATATAAAAGTGAACATAGACGTCAACGCTTAGAGGCGACAGTCTGTTTCATGCTAGACGCAATCGTCAGGCCAATAATAATAAACTACAACATTCAACCCCAAAATTTAATAAATAGCTTTAATTATCTTCCCAAACCAAAACAAAACTAATAAATAAGCGATATAAACAAATTTTTTACTACGTTAATAAAAACACCGACTAATAAAAATTAAAAAGAATAAATATATAAGATAAGAAATAAGAATAAAAATAAAAGATAAAAATAAATAAAAACATGCAAAATAATTTAATCTAAATAAATAAATAAACAAATAAACGACTTCCGGTAAAATAACCGCCAAAATAGACTATCCACAATGCCCCACTGACCCGTATATATATAAATAGCCGAGAAAAATAACAGCACTCGTAGCCTGACGATTACGTTTAGCATGAAACAGACTGTCGCCTCTCAGTGTTGACTTCTATGCTCACTTTTATATTTATATATATATATGTGTGTGTGGGGGCGAGTGCGTGCGTGCGTGCGTGTGTGTGTATATGTTCAATGCAGAACATGTTTTATTTTTGGTAAAATGTAGCTATGAAAAGATGATCGAAAAAAGTTATAGTTTCCCGGATAAAACCGTTTTACCTTGCTCTCACCACGCCCATTCATTCGAAATCGATCCTCTGGGAGATAATCAACTTCTGCTAAAATCGATATTGTTTTCAGAACAGTTCACCAAAAGAATCGTCCTTTTTACAATATGTCCGCCAGGTCCAGAATTTTTTTTTCTAGTAACAGAGAACATTTAGCTGACGTTCTGTCTAATAAGATAGAGTTCGGCAGTCAGGTTAGGCAACCATCGATGATGGCCGGAGGGTGAGCGAGTAGAGGAGAGGGCGAAAAGACGACGAGTGGGGGGGGATACTGTTATTTTTGGACTGGAGTTTCTATCGAATGAGAGAGGGAGAAAAAGGAGAAAGAAAGAGATAAAGGGGAGGGAGAAAGAGATAAAGAGAGAGCGAGAGAGAGAGAGCAGGGGGAATAAGAGAGAGAGAGAGAGAGGAAGGGAGAGCAAGCGAGTGAGTGAGAGAGAGAGAGAGAGAAAGAGAGAGGACAGGGGAAATGAGGGAAAAAGAAAAGATATTGAGGAAGAATTAGAGAAACAACGCGGACACCGGCCAAGCACTTTCGTTTCTCATCAACAAAACGGTGGAAGTAATCGTCGTTCCCGCCTTCTCTCTCCCTCACACACGCACACACACACGCGCACGCGGACACACACATACAAACCTAAGCACACACACACACACAAACACACACAAACACACACACACACACAAACACATACACACAAGTTTCTGTGTAAATGGCATATAAAAATTAAGACTACAACGAAATATAGAAACAACTTCACACCAACACAAAAGGCTTTTGTCCTTCAGTTGTTGACAAGCAAAATTTGAGGAAAGTTTGTCAGAGGAAAAGAAAAATGACAAATGTAATATATAAATTCTGATGTTTGCTTATTTGGTTAGGAATTGGTTCGAAACGAGAACTTTTCAGCACCCCTCCTATGTGCGTGAGAGAAAAAGATAAAGTTGAATTTGTAGATTATTTAAATAGTCGCTCGGATTCTTTTTCTTCTATTTATCATTGGCTAGACATACTCGAGGAAAGAGACTTAGTATGTAAAAAATAATACAATAAACCTGTTTATTTATATTTGAAGAACAAAAATATATAATTCTTCGACAAAAATATTGTTTTATTTCTCTTATTGTGTAAAGATTTCAGATATAGTTGTTATGAATTAACAAGAGTGGTCTTCCTTTGTTTTGTTAGTCTGCTCATTGAGAGAGCTATTTCTGTTTACTGGGACTATAAAAGGACACTATACGCGAACCTTGTATTCTCAGCTGAATAAAGCTTTCTTAAAGTCTACACCTGTGTACTTTTATCATAACAATAGTATATCTGTAATAGGGGAAATATGAATAATGAGAAAAATGCCTTCATAAAGTCCAGCATAGGGAAAAACGCGTCGACTAAGGTAAGTTTTCCTTTTGTCCTTACTGATTTCTCTTATTGTAAAAAAGAATGCTCAAAATGACTTTATAAAAAGCTGGCAAAAATTAATTTATTATTATTTTAACCAAAAACTTGAGGCAGAGGAGTGAATGATGAACTGACGAAAAGTTGAATCCTGACATCAGAAATTCGATGAGTTTTATCATGATGGTAATTTCATCTTCGTTCAATTAGAATCATCAATTTGTTAATCAGTAACAAAAATTATACATTCCAAGCACTTTTTAGTTTTCCTCGCTGGGTGCTCCATACTTGATAAATGTGCCAAACAAAGTTAAGTTTAATATTAACAACAAGAATAACTTTTAATTCTGTTAGTCAACATGAACAGAATTTAAGAATAAAATAAACTTCCTCTTTTACTTTTGCATTTATAATTACTTTTTACTGGTTTGCTTTCTTCACCAGATGTCGGTATTAGAGTTCCGAACATGAATGTTCAAAGCATATAACCCTTCAACAGGGGATTATGGCTACATGGTTTTGTTTAGATGATTAATCCTACATGGTTTTCATGCGATGATTAATGCTACATTGTTTTGTTCCTGTGCAATGAATCCTCTCAGCTAATTGAAAAATATGTTCTAATATCAACATATATAAAATGATCCTTTTATCTATTTCTTGAAGCCACAACGATAGTGAATTTACTTCTCATTCCATCGAGTGGTGTTCGAATTTAACGCAAAACATCATTGATGCTCTATAATCTCGCTTTTTCGTTTGCGTTCAGTATATACAAGATTAAGGTTACTCTTATAGATAAATATCAATATATCTTATGCGTTCATAGATTATCTGATTGACTTTTTCATACTGAGACAAGGATTTAAAGAGAAAAGACTTTGTTGAATCAAAGTCAGAGCAGACGAATACTTAAACTGGTCTCATGTAATATTTCTGTGTGATTTAGCCAGCCTGAGACAAAGATTCAATGTTAGTTAATAAAAAAATCACGAAGAAAACAAAGCAAGTTTCTGTTTAAATATCGGGGATGAGGTGTTATCATTTTTACAATCTGACTAAAGTTTTCATCATAGCGTTTCGGCCGTTGTGCTCTCCGGCCTTTTTCAGGTGTCTGTCGATCTGGGTAAGCTTCAGGTAATTTTGAATTGAACTGTTTTTCTTATCCACGGGTTGTGAGGGGGAAATTGGTTTCCATCTGCTGTTTATGTCAAAAAGATATTGTTGGTAATTTTTTTTATTTTCAAAAATGTATTACTGGTAATAATGTATTGTGGTAATAATTTTTCAAAAAATGTATTGCTGGAATGAAAAATCTATTTTTACATTTTCGTAGTGTTTTGAATCCAGTTTGTGGGTTAACTATTTGCCCATAGCTGGGACCCTAACAGATGCTGCCACCTCGGATCAGGGTGGACCTGGGAACACCAGCAATTAAGACGTGATTCCACGTTTCTCAAAATCTCTCGATCAGAGGCCTTGCTGCCGGATGTATCAGCTCATCCCATAAGTTCTGTCCGAATTTTGAATAAAAGAAAACAAGTGACCAAATGTTACATTTAATTACAGATTCAATCAACAATGTATTTTCCCTGATTATCTATGACTTCCTGCCATCTATTAACAAGCTTACTAATTCCATTACTGTAAAATTCTTTTGGCTTTGATTCGAAGAACTCACAAATGTCAGTTTTAACCTCTTCCTGTGTTACAAAAGCTGTTTCTTCCAAATGATTCTGTAAGCTACGAAACAAATGGTAGTCTGAAGGAGCAAGATCGGGAGAATAAGGTGGATGAGGAATTTTCTCCCAACCAAGTTCTTCAATCTTTTGTGACGTGATTCTTGCTGTGTGGGGTCGCGCATTTTCCTGATGAAACATCACCTCTTTTCGATTCACTAGAGCAGGCCTTTTTTCCCTCAAAGCTTGGTTCAAAAACTCTAATTGCTGACAGTATATTTGAGCATTAATTGTTGCATTAGGTGGTAAGAATTCAAAGTAGATTATTCCTTGGCGATCCCACCAGATTGAAAGAAGAACCTTTTGCCCATGAAGTTCTCTTCTCGGCTGTGGCTGGGGTCCTTCCCCTTTACCAAGCCACTGTCTACGACGCTTAACATTTCGATAAAAGATCCATTTTTCGTCGCCAGTCACAAGTCTATCCAAAAAAGGTGAAACAAGTTGGCGAGAATGGAGAGAAGAGCAGATGTCAACTCGGGATTTGAGGTTGTTTTCAGACAATTCATGAGGCACACATTTTCCAAGTTTAGGAACTTTTTCCAAGTTGTTGAAGATGACGATGAACAGTTGTATGGTTTGAACTGAGAACCACTGCCAATTCCTCAACTGATAAAGCAGGATTTTCTTCAAGGGCTGCTTCAAGAAGCTTTTCATCAAACTCAACTGGACGTCCGGTTCGATCTTCATCTTGAAGGGTGAAATCTCCACCTCTAAATTTTGCAAACCATCTTCTGCAAGTTCTTTCATTCACATCTTCCTCTCTATAAACTGAGTGAATGTTTCTAGCCGCTTCGGCTGCTGAGTTTCCTTTCTTGAACTCATAAAGCATTATGTGCCTCAAATGATTCTTGGGTACTTCCATGTTAGCAGGGTTTTAATAAAACAAAATTTAATTTTATTGTTCTCTGAAATAAAATTTGATCAGTTTAAATGCATCTAAACATAAAAATAATGTTCAGCTTCATTAGACATTATAAAATACTCTTTACATTTCGTTCATTTTAACAAAAATTTAAAATTCGGACAAAACTTATGGGATGACCTGATAGTTTATCTTCTTACCCAGGACGCGGATGTAGTTTATCGTCATACCAAGGACGCGCCTTAATCAGAAGCATTAACTATGTGTCTGTATATCTGTATAAAGCATACATTATTGATATTTGCAAACGAAACAAAAAGAAAGAATCTCATTTCATGGGCACAGATGCAAATTGTCTTTCTAGCGATTTTGAATCAATTTATACCCACCCAGGTAATTTAATTGATGACATTATTCACTACGCTCTGCTTAACTCCAATAATAATAACAATAATAATAATAATAATAATAATAATAATAATAAGGTAAAGCACAATACACCGGCTGAAGCTGCAAAATACTTAAAAAAGAAAGCAAAGACAAAGGCAACCGACCAGATACAGAAACGATGGCAAGATAAACCGCTTCATGGCCAATATTCTGCCCGTATCAAACAAGCTGATGTAGACAAACCCCGTACCCATCAGTGGCTACCGTAGTGCAGGGTTGAAAGGTGAAACTGAAGGTTTTATCCTTGCTGCACAGGACCAATGATTGTTAACTAGAAATTATCAAGCAAATATACTAAAATATTGTGTTAGCCCAAAATGCAGATTCTGTGATAAATATCCAGAAACGATTGATCATCTTGTATCAGGTTGCAAAATATTGGCACCCACTGAATATAACGTTTTTCATGAAAGAGTAGTCCAATATCTGCATTGGAAAATTTGAAACTTCTACGGGAAGGAAACTGAAAGAAACTGGTATGAACACCACCCAAACCCGGTTACGGAGATAGGACCTGTTACAATTCTATGGGACTACTACAAATACACACTGACAGAACAATCAAAGCCAACCGCCCAGACATTGTTATTAAAGACCACAAACAAAAAAAACGGTGCCTCCTTATTGATATGGCAGTCCCTGCTGACTGCAATGTATCTTTGAAGATATTCAAAAAGCTGTCAAAATACAAGGACCTTGAAAAGAAAAATGAAAATAAAAATGGGAACATGGGAATCCCTATTGTAGTTGGAGCCCAGGACTGGATTGAAAAGATAAAGTTAGACTAATTGAAGGGATTCTTGGAAGTCCATGCCTCAAAGAGATACAAAATTGTTCTGACAAGTACAGCCCACGTTTTACGAAGGGCTTTAACTATGTTTTTTTTTTGTCAGTTTTTTTGTTTTGTAAATGATGCCATTTCTAACCTTAGGTCCTTGGGACGGGACCCGAAAAGAAAAAAAAAACGCAAGAAATCAAAGAAAATAAAATTAACAATAATAATAATAATAATATATTCAATCATGAAAGAAGGTTGTAAATACAAACGAGATTTACATTTAATCGATTTTGTAAAAAACCAAAACAGAATG